GGATATCTTCAATTCCGTACCGTGACCGTGCCAGGTATACGTGTGAGTGATTTTCATTGGGTGAACAGTGATCCTCTTGCTTTGATTGGTTTACATAAGTCTTCAATTCCATACCGTGACCGTGCCGGGTACCACGCCATTGACCAGTCATATTAAAGCTACTGTAATCTTTTACAATTGGGTACGCTGTGCATGGGTTGCATTAGGATTTTTCAATCCGGTTCCTGTAACCCATAAACCTTGCGCAAATAGTTTGGGCCCTAATTTGCATCAATCAAATGCTTTCTCCTTAATAGACCTATCCCGAATTCGCTTGACTGGTCACGAAACAATGGTTTCAAGTCGAGGTTGAACTTGTTGAATAAAAGAATCAAGTTCAGTCTCGACTTCAAACCAATGTTTCGTGGTCAGTCAAGGGAATTCGGGAAAGGTCTATTGGGGAGTTTATTTTAGGAGATCACAAGTTTATTGATCCTCAGCAGTTACTGTAGAAATAAGCGTTTAAAGGAATATTACATAGTTACTGACCATGATGTTTGATCATCTTCTGAACACGCTGTCAGGTGGAAGATTTTGGGGTGGTGGGATGGCTGGTTAGTGTCTTGACTCAGAAGAGATGCTGTTATAGCTGGATTAACGTCTCTGTTGTCACTGTTGCTGAGAAAGCAATGAAATTAATAAATTGATGGACGAATGGATGGAAGGAAAAACAGATGGACGAATGGATGGAAGGAAACAAGGAAGGAGGCAAGGGAGGGAGGGAGGGGGAAAGAAGGAAGGAAGGAAGGAAGGAAGGAAGGAAGGAAGGAAAGAATTAAGAAGCAATGAAAAAGGAAAGAAAGATGGTAGCGGGCAGACGGATAGATGGATGGACAGGTGGGCGGACGGACGGACGGACAGACAGACGGACAGGCAGACAGACGAACGGATGGGTGGGTGGGTGGTAGGGAGGAAGAAGGGAAGGAAGGAAAGAAGAGAGGAAAAGAAAGAAACATGGATGGATAGGTGGAAAGTTGGATGCATTAATAAACGAAAGAGTAAACAAAAGACAATGCTATCATATTTAGCAACAAAAAAAAAACAAAAAAAAAACACACCATTGTCTTTGACCAGAAGCATACCTTAAGTCATTAACAAGATCATCTAGTAATATCTTCCCAGCCTGGTATTTCCCTTCCATACATGTAGGATACACCCATCCTGGTGATGTGTCCAGGAAATCCCTGGTAATGGTTGGTAGGTTTTTGGTGGTTTGTGTAGAAGAGTTAATCTGTATGATATGTGTTGGGTGAGTTATATGTATGACATCCATTAACAATGCTATACCCATTCCTGGAATAAAGAATAATGAAAAATAATTAATAATGCAGAGTGGACAAACAAACCATGAACTCTTGGACTTTTTGTCAGGTCATTACTTTTTCAAACCCTCCAAAATGAAGCAATGAGTTCAAATACACTGAGCAATCTTATTTCTTACACTAAAACTTATGTGCAATTGATTGGCTCAAGGGATGATTTAAAGTGTTCATTTTAAAAAGTGACAAAAAAGGAAGGGGTAATAGGAACTCAATACCCTTCTTAACTGGGAATCATGAGTGGTGTAGGCCTCACCTAATTGTATTTACCACTCTATGCTGGACGGAAAACCTAACAGGTTTTGCAACCACTTGATAACGCTACCGGTAGATTGGATTAGAATTTAAAAGTTGATTTTTTGTGGAGAGAAGAAAAACTAGAGAATGTGGAGAAAAAACCAAGCCTGGCAATAATCTAACCTGGGTCGCCTTGGTGAGAGGTTAGTGCTTTCACAGCTAAGCCAGTACCTGCACTTTTCGATAATGGACCTTTTGGGTTAATGTTTATATGGTTAAAGTTTATACGATACCTTTGACCCATCCCTGGGTATTGACCACAAGTGGTATATTTTTACCCTCATACTTTTCTTCATAGTACTGATACAGATGATTTATGCTGTTGATGTACAGGTTGGGATTATCTTTAGGTGAGACATCCCCAAAGAAGTGTGCTCTGAAAGATTGAATTATTCATCCAGATCATAAAGAATGATTGCAGATATTATAGTTATTAGCAGTTTCAGAACCTGTTGCCCTAATAGCCTCACTTGAAACGAATTAACACCACTAAATAAATAAATAAATCCCTTTTATTTAAGTGTCTAGTCGTTCTAGCGCTTTCGCACTAATTAGGGACACTTTTCACTCACACGCACTTACCACTTCATTCAATATTCTATGCACACAACGCTCAACTCACATGTTGATTTTTACGGAGGGAGGAAATCGGAGAACTTGGAGAAAACCCTTATACCATAGGAAAGAACAACACATCAAACAAACTCAATTCACATGTGGCGACCGCAGGGCTCGAACCAGCGACCCGACCCGTTGGACTCACAGCGGTGAAAGACAAAGCGTTAGCCGCAAACGCCACCCATGCTACCCAGTAGTACAATAGTACAATACCCAATAGTACAGATTTAGTTGTAGCAGCAACTGCAATAACAGGCTTTATTATATGACCGTGAATCTTAGAGCCTGGACACTAGCAAATCGAGCAATTTGATTGGATAGATCGCATCACGGACTGGTCTAGATTCTCCGGTATTAACCGGTCCGATCGCATATTAATCTTACGGTGAAAACATTTTCTCCTTTTCAATGAAAAGTGGTCATATAATAAAACTCTTATCAACCGAGTTTGGTCGGTCTGTACGGGATAATCTAGACCTCCCGCTTGGTTAATAAGATCTAAATATTGCAAACACTATATCAATAAAACAGATAATCAGTCTTTACCTCTCTGGCCATTTTAAGTGGGTGATTGGTGGACCTAAAGAAATGAAAGATGTTCTTTCATTACACTCACATATATGACCCAATGTTATTGAGTTGGGCTAGAAACAAGTGTCAACTATTAGCAGAGTATAGAGTACATACCTAGAAGTGGTGCTGTGACATGATTTAAAGATAAAATGGCTGGGGGAGTGAATTCAGTCTGACCTACATCACACTCTAGATAACACACCTCACTGAAACTAAAGCAAAAAAACTGGGCTAAGATTCTTATTTTCAAGGTAATGACATACAGTCTGAAATGGTGAAACTTCTCCCCAGACTAACTCATTTATTACTTAAACAGAGATAACTGTATCGCCTAAGATTTTTACAATTCATACATGTCCCAAATCTCAGTAGGATATTGCAAAAAAACGTTTTTGATCCTATCATTGCTTTTGAACTATGGTACCTATTTAGCTTAATTTGTAACTTATTACTGTTACTTTCAAAACGAAAAGCTGACAAGATGCTAAAATACAGCAGAGTCCCATTTTTCTTGAACCACTTATATCTTACTGTGTTACATGCCAAACGACTTTTTGATTCAAATTGTTCTTTTTACTGCTAACCAATTATGTTTTGTCGCTTTACTTTGATGTTTCGATATTGTTACATCGATGTACAAACTCTGCCTATCAAAAAATCAAGGTGAAATGCTGATATCTAATTGGTTAGCAATAAAGAGCACTTTTTTAACTTGTCAAAAAGTTGTCAAAAAGATTGAAAAAGAAATCAAAAACTTCACAGTACGACGTGTAGGCTGCATCCTGTGGACCTGTAATACTACAATGTTACCCTGGATATCGTGATGCCCTTGTTATTTTGAACCTTTACCCTGGTTTGTTGAATACTCCATTTTAGAACTCTCTGTTGCTCAAGGTTAGCCTCATTTATATGCATAATATTCATGCATTCCAGTGTGTTTTTATTGTTAACGTTGTGCATTTTTTACTTTGCCATTTGTATTTGTGAATATTTAGACACTGATTTGAGGTTAACCCTGAGTAAATGAGTCTGTAATCAAGGAACACAGCATTGATTTAGAACTCGAAAATGGTCTATTACCTGTTCAATAAATTATTGATCACATATCTTGCAAAGGAAGATTTGCCAACACCTTTACCTCCACATACGAGAATGCACTGACATCTACGCCCTGTTAGATTGGTAATTTAGATGCAAATGTTAATTCAAATGTATCCAAAATCAATAGTGCTTTTATAAATCATTTATTATCACTAACCACTCTCTATAGAAGAGGTCCTTGGTGATTTGGTAATGCTATTCATGATATCAATCCATTTATCTGGCTCTTTGTATACTGGAAATCTATCTGACTTTGCATCAACCTAAGAAAACAAATTATTAATCTAGCTCATCATGAGGGATGGATGAATGGATGGATAGGTGTAGGTGGATTGGATGGATGGAATGGATGGATGGATGGATGGATGGATGGATGGATGGA